ATCTTTTGTTAAGTTTATTTATCCCAAACAAGTCTGGTTTGGTTGCTTAACAGATTTTGAAGTAATAAAACCATGCAAACATATTAATAAATCATAATATAGCTACCAAATAAATACAAGCATGGTATTCTTGAATTAAAGGTGGATTTTGGATGTAGAGGTAAACTAAATACAAAAGAAAATTTTAAGAAAGTAAAGCCAAAGGACATCATTTCTTTGCACATGCATCTTTGATATTTTGATTTGCCTCTGATTGCCACCTTGTGAAAGGTGCTATATAAATAAAACTTTACTTACTTTAACAATATAATAAGCAACAATATGAGCAAATAAATTGTAAAAGTACTTTTATTTCTTAGCCCTTTATATATAAAAATATACACGAAGGCTTACAATTCATCTTCAAGTAAAGCAGTTTAGAAACAGTGGATTCTTCATTCTAAAAAAAAAGACATTCTCTCCAAACAACTAAATTCATGCTTCTGTCTAAAAAAATGAGCTGTAGGTATACAAAGTGATATTTGAAGTATGAAATTGAATCTGAGCATAAATAAGATATAGTTCTGGTACCTGAATTTGTCGACCTCTGTCAAGCAAAAACCTTCACAAACCACATAAGCGATTTGCAATCCCACAAATCGACGGCATCTATCGTGTTTAAAAAACTGAAGCAAAAACAAAAACAATGGAATACAACCCTGACCTGATGTGAGTACTGTCTGTTAAGATAAAAACAAAGTAAAAATGAGAGGAATACATTTATGTACAGAGTCCTGGGTCCTGCCCACAGCGAGCAAACAAGCAGTCCTGTCAAGGCACTCAGCAATAACCAATAACTTATTGAAAAGACAGGATGAGAAACGWCTTAAATACAACTATAACTTAGCAAGTATGTTCCCTTTTTTTATTTTACAAATATATACATAAACACCATCAGAGGCACTTGGCTTGGTAGAAAATTAGGCACTTAAAAACAGATATGTTTCCCAAAGAGATATTATTATTGCTTCTCAAAGTTCACTGATTGCATATGTTGAACCTCCTCTAATACTCAGTGGGGTTAGAGGAGGGGTTGGGGAACTCCTTTTGGAGGCGCTGTCAGGGATCCCCCCCCCCCGATGGATAGGTGAAGTGTCCACGCGAGCTGAGAGGGGCCTACATGTGCCTCTTCATGTGCAGAGCCAGGTGGTCAGAGCGGGAGAAGGCGCGCTCGCACAGGTGGCACTGGAAGGGCCTGTGCCCGGTGTGCTTCCTGAAGTGGCGCGTGAGCTCGTCGGAGCGGGCGAACTTCCAGCCGCAGCCCTCCCAGTTGCAGTGGTACGGCTTTTCACCTGAGAAGAGAAACACAAAAAGATTGCGGGGGTTAATTACTGAGCCACACTGTAAAAAAAAATGAAACGTTGGATTTACTTAACCATGTTATGTGACCTGGTTCCACTTAACTGAGTTGAGTAAATTCAAAGTAATATACCAGTTTTTTTAACCAAAGAACATGAGTATGTTGCTTTGAATTAACTCAACTCAGTTAAGTGGAACCAGGTCACTTAACATGGTTAAGTAAATCCAACRTTTCATTTTTAGAGTGCATGCGTGGTGTATGGAGGGTGTTGTTGGGGTGGGGGGTAGCAGGCTGAAAAGAGGATGAAGGTCTCACCTGTGTGGGTCCTCATGTGGGCTTTCAGATGCGAGCTCTTCGTGTAGGTTTTCCCGCAGCCGGGAAACTCGCAGTTGTGCGTRGCCGCGCGTTTTCTGCTCCACGACTTGCGGCCTCGCTTCTGCTTGATGCAGCCCGCCTCTTCGTGCGCGTAGAACTCCAGCAGCGGCGAGGAGGGGGGCGTGAGCATCATCCCCTGCAGAGAGGCGGGATGCTGCTGCTGCTGCTGGTGGTGCTGGTGGAGCTGCTCTCTGTGCATGCTGWACTGTCCCTGAAACTGCGCGTACTGAGGGTGATACGGCGCGCCCAGGTACTGGTTCGACACATGATGCTGACTGAGGTGGGGGTGGTGATGACTGTGGAGGTGACGGGGGCTCATCGAGTTCATTCGCGCCAAATCGCAGCCTGCGCTTCCCGGGTGGAYGGGGTGCGCGCCGAAGCCGTGCAGCGCCCCCTGCTGGTGCGTAAAAGCAGCAGCCGGGTGCGCGGAGCGCATCGGTTCCACAAAGTTCCCAGCAGCCATCATACAAGACTGGACCCCGGGCTCGGCTTTGACTTTGTATCCGAGCGTGGAGGGGGTCGCGGCAGCCGGAGCTGTGAGCGGATTGAGAGCCCGCAGCTCGGTGTACTCACAGCCGTCTCTCATCTTGGCCGCTCCGTCGGGCGAGTTCTCCTCTGGGTAACTGATGTCAGGCGTGAGCAGCTCCGCCATCAGGCTGCGCACCGGGCTGGACTCGGGGAAGCCGCGGTAGCCCTGCACGGCCAGGTGGGCCGCAGCTGAGGGGTGTTCTGCGGASTCTGGAACGGAAGCGCCGCCGCAGCTCTCCGGAGACTCCGGGAGGGAGTAGGCGCTCTGCTGCTGCAGCTGCTGCGGGGGCGGAGAAGCCCCCCCACCGTCGTCACTGCCCAGCACGTCAGCTCCGATGGTGTTCGACAAAATGAACTCGAGGTCCAGGAATTTCCCAAGGTCGTCCTCCTCTTTGGGGGGCAAAGACGGAGACTGGACGATGCTGAACTCCACCTCGATGCGCGAGCCCTCTTGGCCACCTGTCGCGCCGCTCCGCGCGCACTCATCCATGTTGCAAAGCTGCACGAGCAAGAACAACACGTTCAAGCGTCGGATCCAAAATCACAAACATGAACAAACAATTAATAACAAAATGAAATACTTACATTATTCACCGCTTTGACAGTCGGAAACGATGCCATAACCGGCATCAGCGCTTCAGCCACAGCCATGACAGCCGTTTAAAAATAAAATAAAATAAAAAAAAATTTGTTTTATAAGAAGAAATAAAAAAGTTTCGATCTAGAACTCCAAACTGAGACAGAAGCTGTTTTTTGTGTCCATAGAGAGCTTCTGCGTAAAGCTCAGGAGTGTTCAGGATGTGGGGATCTCCAATGAACTCAGGCTTTTATAGCTGCGTGGGGGGCGTGGCCTCGGCTGYCTATAAACACGCACGTGCATGCATACATATACAGCATGTACCAGCTGCCTTTGTTTTCCCCAGGATTCCTTCTGCAGGTGACAGTCAGGACACACCAGATGACTTATGAACGTTTTTTTTAAAAAAGCCTCCAAGCAAAAACAGTGTTTTGTTATCATATGAGATGTTTTTTTTTTTATTGTGTCAAACTCTAGTGAAGAGATGCTTCAACTCGTACTTAGATCGAACAAAACCATACTTATAATGGTTTTGAAAAGAGAGTATTGGTGCCAAATGTCACAGTATGGCAC